AGAACCAACTCTTAGTTCCATGGGTCATTTCATTGTTTTTTAGTCTCCGTTTCATTTATTTCTGCTTTGATAGGTAATATTTCATTCTAATTTTGGGCTGCTTTTTCTAGCTCCTTTATGTGTACAATCAGGTTTATTCGAGATTTTTCTTGTTTGTTGAGGTAGGCCTAAATTGCTATAAACTTCCCTCTTTGAACTGTTTTTGCTCTGTCCCAAAGATTTTGGAACTTTGTGTTCTGTTTTCATTTGTCTTCAGGTGTTTTTAATACTGCCTTTTCGATTTCTTCATTGACCCATTGGTTGTTTAGTAGCATGTTGTTTAACATGAAGTTAAACAATGCTAGAATATTTTTTCTAGTTTTTTTTTTTTTTTTAGTTTTAGAGCATTGTGGTTAAAAAAGAGACTCCATATGATTTCCGTATCTTAAATTTTTTGAGACTTGTTTTGTGGCCTGACATGTTATCTGTCCTGGAGAACCCCATGTGCACTTGAAAAGTGTATTGTGCTGTTTTGGGATGGAATGTTCTGTATTTTCTGTTAAATCCATTTGATCTAGTGTGTCATTAACAGCCACTGTTTCCTTGTTGATTTTCTGTCTGGATGATCTGTGCATTGATGTAAATGATGTTGAACTCCCCTACTATTATTACCCGCATTTTCTCCCTTTATGTCTGTTAATATTTCCTTTATATATTTAGGTGTTCCTCTGTTGGGTGCAGAGATATGTGCAGTTGTTGCGTCCTCTTGTTGTATTGATCACTTTGTCATTATGTAATACCCTTCTTTGCTTCTTGATACGGTCTTTGTTTTAAAGTCCATCTTGTCTGATAAAAGTATTGATAGCCTTTAGTGTTATGCTTGGATTCCTTTCTCTTTATTTTTTAGGTATCTATTAGAGGTTTTTGGTTTGTGGTTACCATGAGATTCATAGATAACACCCTATGTATATAGCAGTCTTTTTTTAAGTTGAAGTTTGCTTAATTCCAAAACATACTAAAAGCGCTACAATTTTACTCCCTCATCTCCATGATTTATGTATTTATTGTCCTATTTTACATCCATATTTTAAATATATTGTGTATCCCCTGCCTAATTATTATAGATATCATTGACTTTACTGCTCACTAGCTTTATAAGCAGTTGATCTACTACCTTCACTATATGTTTGTTTTTACCAGGGAAATTTATTCTTTCATAATTTTCTCACTTCTATTTATAGCCTTTTCTTTTTTGCTTAAAGAAGTTCTCTTAACGTTTTTTGTAGGGCCAGTTTAGTGGTGAATGAACTTCTTTAGTTTTTTGTTTGTCTAGGAAACTCCTTCAGTTTCAAGTGATAACTTTGCTGGGTAGAGTATTTTGGGTTGTAAGTGTTTTCTTTCAGCACTTTGAGTATATCCTGCCACTTGTAGCTGTAGAGTTTCTGCTGAAAAATCAGCTCATAGTCTTAGGGTGTTAGCTTATATGTAACTACTTGCTTTTCTCTTGCTTCTTTTAGGATTCTCTATATATCAATTTTTTGACATCGTTATTATGTGTCTTGGTGTGAACTTTTTTGGATTTATCTTCTCTTGAGCTCTGTTCCTGTTTCTTCCCAAAGTTAGGGAAGTTTTCAGCTACTATTTCTTAAAACAAGTTTTCTTCCCCTTTCTGACTTTCTTTCCAGGACCCCTACATAATGCAATAGTGCAAATGTTGGTACACTCGATGTTCTCCCTGAGGTCTCTCTTAACCTATCCTCATTTTAATTTTTTTTTTTTCCTATTGCTGTTCAGTTTGGATGACTTCCACACCCTGTCTTCCAGATCTCTGATCCATTCTTCTGAGCCCTTTCGTCTACTGTTGAGTCCTTTGAGCTTATTCTTCATTGCTGTTATTCTTCGGTTCTGATTAGTTCTTCTTAATACTTTCTATCTCTATTGAAGTTCTCCCTGAGTTCATTCACTCTTCTCCCATGTTGAGTGAGCATCTTTAATGACCATTATTTTTAACTCTTTATTGCTTATCACCACTTCATTTCATTCTTTTTCTGAGGTTTTTGTCTTGTTCTTTCTTTTGGAGCATATTCCTATCTCCTTATTTTGTCTGACTCCCTGGGTTTGTTGCTATCTATTAAGTAAATCAACTACGTCTCCTGGTCTTGAAGTCAGTGGTCTTAGGTAGAAGGCATCCTATGGGTCCCAGAAATGCAATCCCCCAGCCCCCAGGACAAGGTGCTCCAGGGATATCTACTGTGGAGACTGTATGCACTCTCCTGTTGTGGCTGGGCCATGACTGCTGTGGGTGCACAGGTGGGTGGGGCTGGCCCCCAGCGCAGCTGGCTGAGAGGCTTTGCTGCAGCTGCTGCAGGCAGACTAGTGGGTGGGGTTAGCCCCTGGTGTGGCTGGCTGCAAAACTTGGCTGCCGCTGTTGTGGGCATGCTGGTGGTGGGGCTGGCCTCTTCCTCCTTGGGGCAGGAGACAATTTGAAGGGGCACTGGTCCAAGCTGAAGCTGTTGGCTGGGCATGGTGGGGTGGGTGCAGCATTGGGGGGCCCTTGCTGTGCAGATGGGTTGGATGTGGCAAGTCAGCAGGGGAACACTGAAGCTGGGTGAGTGGTGCTAGCAATGTAGATAAAGAATGTCAGAACTGTAGCTGCCAGCATGAGGCCAGTTACACTAAAGGAGGACAGGGAAAACGGCTCCTGCCAGTGCTTCCATTGCTGGTGAAAATTTCTATGCCTCCGTTTCCTATAGCCTTCTGGCTCTCCAAGTGAAGTCCTGCTGATTTCCAAAGCCAGACATGATGAGAGCTCATCTTCCTGGTGCAGGTCCCCAGTGCAGTGGGTGCCCAATATGGGGCTTGAATCCCTCCCTTTTTAAGGGATTTTTGAATCCTTTCCCCCTTTTTAAGGGAGCCATGAATAGTGCATTTTAAATGACTTGTTTCCCTTCCTGAGTTGAGATCAGCATTGATGTACAACCTATTTTTCCTAAATACTTCTGATACACCTAAAAAGATGTTTTCTTTGGAAACCAAAGTTCCTTTTTAAAAGCCTATGTTCGCCTTTTATGTTTCTGTGCTGGTCATAAGTAATCGGCTTTGGGCGTCCTCAAAAATAGTTTTGTTTTGTTTTTTTCTGTTGTCCCCAGCCATGGAAATACCAGTTGGCCTCTGAGGAATTTACCTGAATGAGTCAACCTTTATGCATGTTTAGTTATGTTTATTTTTAATATCAGGGCTTTTCACTTGTATTTTTTCCTCTTCAGGATTCTATGAAGGAATGTCTCAATATTTAAATATTTTTAAGTGTCCTCCAGTTTAAGTATCTGAAATTTTGCATGTACTTAAAAGGCATTTCAGAATGAGGATGCCTGAAGTTTGCTTTTTAAACTGGAATTTAATTTTCCTGCTTCTTCTCACCTGTCCCACTGCCTCCCCATTGGAAATCTTGATGATGATAATGCATGCAGGAACAATTGAAAAATAAGCTCAACCTATTTTGGGCAAGTATTCTAACTAGAAAATACTATTCATTTAAAAGTTAGAATAAGTCTTCTCAAGATGAAGGAGTGGCTATTGGGAGTGAAAGTGGGAGGTAGAAGGTCAAATAAACTGTAGAGTTTGGGGGCGCCTGGGTGGCTCAGTCTTTAAGTGTCTGTCTTTGGCTCGGGTCATGATCCTAGGGTCCTGGGATCGAGCTCCACATCAAGCTTCCTGCTCGGCAGGAAGCCTGCTTCTCCTTCTCCTGCTCCCCCTGCTTGTGTTCCCTCTCTCGCTGTGTCTCTCTCTCTATCAAATAAATAAAAATTTTTAAAAAGCTGTAGAGTTTTTATGAGGAGATGCTGTGCTGAAGAGAAATGAGGTATAAAGGTCTAAGGATTCTGTGGATTTACTCAGATGATGTAACACGTATATTAATCATGGAAGATTGACTCTTGGTTGGTTAGTTTTTTGGTTTTTTTTTTTTTTTAAGATTTTATTTATTTATTTGACAGAGAGAGACACAGCGAGAGAGGGAACACAAGCAGCGAGAGAGGGAACACAAGCAGAGGGAGTGGGAGAGGGAGAAGCAGGCTTCCCGCTGAGCAGGGAGCCCGATGTGGGGCTCGATCCCAGAACCCCAGGATCACGACCTGAGCCGAAGGCAGTCGCCTAACCAACTGAGCCACTCAGGCACCCCAGGTTGACTTTTTAAAACAAAGATTTGGTCCCTCATTCTTCTGGGCTCCCATAGCAACAACATTGTGAAATACAGCAATGTATTTACTCTTCACTTTTCCAGTAGTCTCTTAGTTTTTTGACTGTGTTATTTACCTTGATATAGCATGCCTCCACCCCATCCTTTGGGGACTCTTATACTCTGTCTCTCCCAGATACTCAGATTGGCCAAACCGATGTCGAGAAGAGAAGAGCTACTGTCTGCTACGTTGGCTAAGTTGGACCGCATGAGTCTGGCACTGCAAAGGGCTGATTTTCAAACCAGTCAGCTGTACTTGAATCCTAGTTCCAGCCCTGTACTTCCCAGTTGTGTGTATAAGTGAATTTTGTATTTTGTTCAAGCTAGTTCGAATTTGACTTCTATAACTTTGTCACCCTAAATAGGTACACTGAGGCGAACTCAAATTACCAGAAATTGAGTTTTTTTCAGGAATAGCAGAGGAATTGCAATTTGGAAATGCATGCTGTAGCAAGCTACGGGCAAGTCCACTGAGGGCTTGGGGCAGGACATATGTATGTCCAAGGAGTACAAAGAGGAGGAGGTCCAGCCAGAGTCTAAGCACTAAGTTCATTGGCTTGAGGATGGGGAGAGAGTCTTGGTGGTGTTCACTGGTCAGGAGATAAGTCTTGGTCTGCTGTAAATCAGGAATTTACAGGGAATCAGTCTCTGAGTTCTTCAGTTTCATACTTCTGAGGGTATATGTGTGAGATGATCCATTTCATATCCTCCAGTTCTATTTTAGATAGAAATCCTTTTACTTTTACCTCTCTCAATCAGGATCGTCCACAGAAAGCATTGCTCATCCACCGTGTCACTTAAGCATTATTTTCCTTTTTTTTTTTTTTCCCCTCAATCAAAAACATCATTAGATGGAGTGCACATCCTGTGGAGCTGAGGACAAACATCTCCTGTGTCTTGTCCCATGTAGGAGGGAAATGGCAAGTGGATATCATTGGTCTTATTTGAACAACAAAAGGAATAAGAAATGAAGACTCTCAGCCATGCTCTTCTGGGCTGGCTAGCTCAATTTCCATGGTCAATTAATAAGCATAAAGACAGTATTCTTAATACAGCTCACCAGGGCGACTACTATGATTATTATAAGATTATAAGGAGGATAATCCCCACGATCTAGAGTGTAGTTTGGGACCATGGTCCCCAAGATCCAAACCAATCAGAATCAAGTGAAAGAGAAACCTTCGTTGAAGGAGAGTCCCTTAAAGACAACTGGCTGGTTCAGTGATCTTGTATAGCTGAGCCTTGGCTTTGCTGGAAGAGTCCACCTAAGTGAATCAAGTGGTGCTGGCCATAGCACAGACTCCTCCTGGCTCTGCTAAGAGATAATCAAAAACTATCCTATTACCAAGAACAGCTTTGGGTGGCTCCTGGAAGTGGGGCTGGTGCAGGGCCGTCATGTTGCAGCAGGATAGTAATGACACGGAGGATGTTTCCCTGTTTGATGCGGCAGAGGAGACCACTAACAGACCAAAAAAATCCAAGATCAGACACCCAGTGGCATCATTTTTCCATTTACTCTTTCGAGTCAGTGCAGTTGTAGTCTATCTTCTTTGTGAATTGTTCAGCAGCAGCTTTATTGCCTGTATGGTGACAATTACTTGTTGTGTGACTTTCGGGCTGTCAAGAATGTCACAGGTAGACTCATGGTTGATCTGTGTTGGTGGAATCACATAGATGAAGATGGAAAAAGCCACTGGGTGTTTGAGTCCAGGAAGGCATCCGCTCAAGAGAGTAAACCTGTTTCTGAGGCTGAATCAAGGATTTTTTGGTTAGGACTTACTGCCTGTCCAGTGCTGTGGGTGATATTCGCCTTCAGCGCGCTCTTCTCCTTCAGAGCGAAGTGGTTGTGGTTATCATGGGTGTGACGCTACAAGGTGCCAACCTGTAAGGTTACATCAGGTGCAAAGTGGGCAGCAGGAAGAATTCAACCAACATGGCTACGTCTTATCTCGGAAAGCAGTTTTGAAAACAAAACACCGGAGATGAGCAGACTTCCTGAAGAGAGTGAGAGCAAGCTCATGTGTCTGTTGCACTGGGGAACAGCTGAAGAGATTCTTGACTCTGAGGCTTTTGGAACTCAGTGCGTATTGCAAAGAGGAGTGTTGGGTTTGTTTTTCCGGTTTAAAATTTACTTTAAAAAAAAATGGACAGTTTAGTTTTCATATCAAGTTTTTATTCTCTTTCTGGCATTTTGGGGCTTGAAAGTATGGTGTGGCCAGGAACATTGTCAAAATTGGTTCCTGGTTTATACATGTATGCACGTAGTCCTGTAATGTCCGTATATCCCAAATTACTGAAAGTGCGTTCATGTACATACGTAATGGAGACCTTTGCATTTGGATCCGTAGAATATAGGAGGATGATCTCGGTCTGTCTCAGAAATCTAGGTGTGTACATATTATTTCTGTAGATTATTGTCAGAAGAAAGTTTTGCTTCCATGGGAAGAGTGAGCACTTTGGCTCACGTGTAAGTTAGAGATAATTGTTAATTTTACACCTTAATGTATACTTCGCGACGAAACGTCTTATCTTACTCACTCAAAGGCAGGTAAAAAACAAATTTGGGCCAGTGGTTAACTAGTTTGTAAATTTTATTTTTATTTGTAATAACCCATGTCCTTAAGGCCCAATTAATGTAAATGGAATTTTCACAGTTTATGGTTAGGGGATTCCTTTGAGATTGCTGCTGTTCTATTTATTTTTTGGAAGGGAAAGCCAGATTTTACTTTAAAACTTCCTGGAAGCTCTTCAGTGGGCCTTGGCCTAATGAAATTTATCTTTTATCACTAAAAGAGTATTATTCTTATGTCATAGTGAGAATAATCATTTAAATACTTGGCATAATAAATGCCTAAAAGACATTTTATTGTATGAATCTATTTTTTTCTCGCTATAATGGGGATATTATAAATCATGCCTTTGTATTAATGGTATTTCTTAATATATGTCACAATCTACAAGCGGTTGTAGGAGTCTATAAATTCTGTTGTAGGTTCTATAAACTTTGTTGGTGTCTTTTAACCAGCAGATTATTTTGTGGAATGTATTTATACATTATTAAAAATTTTAAAAAGATGTTTAATTGAATAAGTGTCTTTATTGGAGTGATAGCTTTTGAAGGTGCATAACTTTATATTTGTATAAAACTGTACTGTTTACAAAGCAAAAAAAAAAAAAAACTTTGCCAGAGCCTAGGAATTTTTGTTGGGCAGCTATTTTTTGAGAAGCAGGTTCTGCAGTATCTTCAAGAGGTAAGGAGAGGTTCCTAATGCTAGCATCATCTGTACGTACTCCTAGCCAAAGGAGTAGGGGTCTGCCAAGGGAAGTGAATTTTGAATCATGAATGCCTCCTGGTAATTCATTTGAGTCTATGGTTCAGGACTGGAAAACTAACCGCTATGGAGGCCAATAAAATTTAAAGGTCTATAGACCAAAAAGTGGTTTTATTTCTGTTACCCTTGCCTTGTCCCTTTCTTAGTACAGAGCCCAGAAGCAAGTTTTTTGAGATGTGAGGTTGTTAACTAGGGACAGGGAAATGGACACCTAGTGTTAGGGAGTCTGATGTGATCAAGAGGGGGCTGAGTTTGTTCTAGAGAAACTGAGGCATTGGAAATCGGGGGAAGTTTCTGACAGAACCACAGGATCCACCAGCATTGTGGCAGATCTAACAGTCATTTGGAGGTTGGATTACCCCCACTGGCAATGGCCTGAGATTAGTGAACAATGGCATTATCTTTCCAGTCCAGAGCAGGATGAAAGATGAACAAAAGAATCCTAAAGATCTTCATGGTATAAAAATTAGGAAAATACTGTCAAAGAGGGAAGAAGGAAGGCAAAGAAATGTCCTTGATCCAATGAGTTGGAAGGAAGTGGTCTACTTTGATGTTGGCTATCCTCTTTTACTAGTCAATTTTATTTTGAGGTCTCCAGCTTTTGCACAGGACCTGATGTCAGGTGGAGCCTTTTGTGAAGTAATCACCCAAATGTGACTCTTTGTGACTTATCAGTAGGGTCAGTGGTCAAGGGCACTTAGTCAAGTCCTTCCCATGAATCTCACTTTTGCAAAACCATAAAAGTACAAGAATATCTGTAAATGACCAAAATGACTTAAAAATGCCCATGGTTACAAATCTGATGAGAGTTTGTTATAATGGGATTGACAAGGAAATTTTGTTTCTGTGACACATCACTGAGTGAGAGGAAAAATAATTTTCCCTCTACATTTCCTTCTAGGTTTTTGTCTGAGACTACCCTATGGTAAGAGACAGATTGGCAGAAGAGAAACAAACAGAAGTTTAGTAACAACTTGTATACCACCTGTATAAATGGGAGATACTTGGGAAAACTGAGTGGCTCCCTGAAATGGCCCAACCCACCACCTTAAATAGCATCTCCAGTTAAAGACAAAAAAAAAAAAAAAATGTTGTTGGGGAGGGCCAGTTATGGGAGGTTACCGTGAAGAGCATGGAAAACAAGGGTAGGTTGTTACGCAGTTTTAAGTCTTTCCCTTCTCCATGGATAAGAGTTTCCAGAGATTTAAAGACCTCCTCTTCTGGTACAAAGAGGAAGACCCTCTTACAATTAGAGATTTACCTATAAATGTATATGTTTCTTAGAAAAGGGTAATTTCTACTCAGTTTTCAGAGATTTTTCTAGGTCTGCTATTTCTTAAAAATTAGCCTAAAATAATATTTTGCCAAAGACTTTCTGCTCCCCTTCCAACATTTTTTTTTTTTTTAAAGATTTTATTTATTTGACAGAGACACAGTGAGAGAGGGAACACAAGCAGGGGGAGTGGGAGAGGGAGAAGCAGGCTTCCCGCTGAGCAGGGAGCCTGATGCGGGGCTTGATCTCAGAACCCTTGGATCATGACCTGAGCCGAAGGCAGACGCTTAACGACTGAGCCACCCAGGTGCCCCTCCCCTTCCAACATTTTAAGATAACTAGAATTATGACTGATAAAATTATACCAGAACATACCAGATTTCTAGGAATTTCATGAATTTCTAGAAGACTTGAATTAAGAACATGCATCTATACAAATATAAGCTAAGAAGGCTTAGCATCACTTCTTATTTGAGAACACATCCCATGTAACTTAACATGTCAAATAAACCTAATTAGTTTAACATTTTACCAAATGAGAGGCAAGTCCTTTGAGATTTTTTTTAGTGACCCTGTGGGAAATCTCAAAGCTACTTTGAGGTTTAAAAAAAGACTTAGAATTTGATTTGGGGAAGTTGTCGAAATGTCAGAGTTTGAACATTTGACTAAATAGGATCACAGACTATTATGAAATAATACCTAATTATTTAACCAAAGTAAAAGAGAAGATCTTAAGGGCAAACATGGAAGCTTACCTAGGTTGTGAACAAAACTTGGTTCTTTGAATATTGAGGATGAATGGGTTTTCTGAAGTAAACAAAGACCTGGTAAGGACAACATAAAAGCACATTCACTTATTTTGTTAAGACACAAAATCTTTGCTGTCCAGGCAATTAACCTGAAAGGTAAAGAAAAACTCTTCACAATCTCTTACCAGGAGCAGACCAATAGCCCAAGAAAAGTTTTCTTTTCAGTGGATGAAAGAAAATTTAAGGTTGAGTTTTACATAAGTACACTATTCATAGTAAAGCTTACTAAAAAAAAAAAAAACAAAAAACAAACTTGTAACTAATTCATTCAATTTGAGCCAGCTTGACCATGCAAGGTATGATTCTCTCTCCCTACCCCACCCATTTCCCTCTCTTTCTTCCCAACTTGCTAAATCCATTCATTTCGCCCTTTATTTGCCTTTTTCCTATTCTGAAATAACCAAATTTACTTTGGGACAAATTTACTTTGAACAGAAATGCACCTCCATCCCTCACTTTTTTTGCTTAAAAAAACATTCTACTTTCCTGGCATACAGAGGTGTTTCCCTTATTTCTACTAGTTTTAATTTACATATATTTGAATTCTTAACCCTTAAAAACCCTAATTTCTAGTAAGGATTAGGTAAATAATTGTGAACTGTGTGTTACTGGCAAATTTATAAAAACATTTCCTAATTCCTGGAAGTATACACTTCTAGAAATGTATGGCATGTTTACCAACATGGGCACAAATATCTTTAGTTCCTCTGTAAATTGGAAGCCCGAAGTAGACCAACCCATGTTCAACAATTGTTTGCAGTAAACATTCAATGAATACCCATCATTTAACTTCTCTCAGTATGACTTTAAGTTTTTAAGTAACCAACAAGTTTAGAAAACATTTTTAAAAGCACCTACCATAAAGCACAATTATTGTTGAAAAGTACATTACAGCAACTTCTTTCAAGACCCATCTCTAAAGGCAAGGGAAACAAAAGCAAAAATGAACTTTTGGGACTTCATCAAGATAAAAAGCTTCTGCACAGCAAAGGAAACAGGCAACCCACAGAATGGGAGAAGATATTTGCAAATGACATTACAGATAAGGAGCTGGTATCCAAGATCTATAAAGAACTTCTCAAACTCAACACCCAAAAAACAAATAATCAAGTCAAAAAATGGGCAGAAGACATGGACAGTTCTCCAAAGAAGACCTACAAATGGCTAACAGACACATGAAAAAATGTTCATCATCATTAGCCATCAGGGAAATCCAAATCAAAACCACAGTGAGATACCACCTTACACCAGTTAGAATGGCAAAAATTGACAGGGCAAGAGACAGCAAATGTTGGAGAGGTTGTGGAGAAAGGGGAACTCTCTTACACTGTTGGTGGAAATGCAAGTTGGTACAGCCACTTTGGAAAACATTGTGGATGTTCCTCAAAAAATTAAAAATAGAGCTGCCCTATGACCCAGCAATTGCACTACTAGGTGTTTACCCCAAAGATACAGATGTAGTGAAAAGAAGGGGCACATGCACCCCAGTGTTCATAGCAGTAATATCCACAATAGCCAAACTGTGGAAGGAGCCGAGATGAATGGATAAAGAAGATGCGGTATATATATATAATGGAATATTACTGAACCATCAGAAAGGATGAATACCTACCATGTGCATCGACATGGATGGAACTGGAGGGGATTATGCTAAGTGAAGTAAGTCAAGCAGAGAAAGACCGTTATCATATGGTTTCACTCCTTTGTGGAACATAAGGAATAGTGCAGAGGACCACAGGGGAAGGGAGGGAAGACTGAAGAGGGAGAAATCAGAGAGGGAGACAAACCATGAGAGACTCTGGACTCTGGGAACCAAACTGAGGGTTACAGAAGGGAGGGGGATGGGGTAACTGGGTGATGGGTATTAAGGAGGGCAAGTGTTGTGATGAGCACTGGGTGTCACACGCAACTAATGAATCATTGAACGCTACATCAAAAACTAATGATGTACTATATGTTGGCTAGCTGAACATAATAATAATAGAAAAGTTCATTTATAAACTTTTATTTACATCTACTTTATTCACTTTTTCTTAGTAATTAAGCTTAGATTACTCATGAAAATTCCATGAGCCATTAAATAGTTAACCATCATCCTAAATTCTCTCTCTTGCTGAAAAATTCTGTTACAGGGATAACATGAGCTTATTTGACCTTCAGTACAACTAGGTAGAACAAAAGTTTAATATTTGATGCTGCCAGCTCTAAAGACCGGTTTGTTTTAATTACACCCACAAACTATTATTTACTAAAGATTTATCTTCGATCATGTGAACTTGAAAAACATTTGGGTTCATTTTTGTACTTGAGTTTTAGGAATACTTAATTTGATAAGTGCTTATTTTTCTTGAAGCCAATTAAATGGAGCTCTTTTCCAAATTAATTTTAGCCATACCATCCAGAGGTAGAAAAATGTCACACATTTATCTCATACATACACACATACACAAGCGTACATAAAAACACAGGCAGACCCAACAGAGATCTTATAGCTTCTGTTGTAAAATTTTAGCCATGAGCCAGGTACAATACAAAAGTCACTAGTTTTTGAAAGAACAGTTGAGTCCAAATTATGTTCCTGGAAGCTGGAATAAGTTAAATTAACTGCTAAGAAGGCAAAAGTTTTTTTACTAATATTTGTGGACAAGACACTTGAGAAAA